TTAAAAATGTTATTGGATGGAGCACCTGGGTGGCTCCGTTGGTTGGGCGTCTGCCTTCAGCTCAGGTCATGATCCGGGGGTCCTGGGATCGAGCCCTGCATTGGGCTCCCTGCTCAGCGGGGAATCTGCTTCTCCCTCTGCCTCTGCCTCTCCCCCTGCTCATGCTCTCTCGAATGCTCACTTTCTCTCTAATTAGTAAATAAAATCTTTTTAAACAATTAAAATGTTATTGGAGAAATTGAACATGATTTGGTAGGGAAAGAATTTATATGTTAGAAGACTCTGGTTTCTAGCTATCGATTAGCTTCGTAACCTTATACAAGGTCTTCATTTCTTCAGTCTTATTTATAAAACGGAATCTGAGGGTGATGGTGGGGGTTTGCTATAAGAGAATGTAACTTTATATAGTTTCTTAGTTTGTTTTCCCTGAATTAAAAAGTCCCTGATTCTGGGATATGCCATTCCTATGGTTTCTGCCATCACTTGCTCGTCCCTGATTGCAATTCTCTGTTATTCCCGAATAAACCCATTTTTGCTGGTAATCTTAGTTTGTATAAATGGTATTACATAAATGGTATTGACCCATTGTTTTCCTCCCTGTTTGAAAATCTGTCACTACCTCCAGTTAATTGCTTCTGCCTGCTGATGGGACACTGTGATGTCCCCCCACCACATTTCGTCTATCCTCTCTCCCAGTGACAGATACCCACATTACCTCCACACTCCCCTCCTGTCTCCAGTAACATCCCCTTAAGACCTGTGTAAGAATTTGTTAGGATATTTCCAAGAACAGAATTGCTGGTTTGTAGAATATGTGTATGCTTAATTTGATTAAGTAGTGTCAGACTGCTCTCCAGAAGGATGCACAAGGATTCCTATGGCGTCTTCCTCATATCTCCACTAAGGCTTAATAGAGCTTTCAGATATTTTACAGTCTAATAGTGAAAACTGGTATCTCACTGTAATTTGCATTTCCATAATTACTAATGTACTTGAGCATTTCTTTGTATGTCTGTGAGACTTGAGTTTTGTATCTTTTGACCAGATTTCTATTGAGGTTGCTAACCTTTTTCTGCTTCTCTACATATTAATTCCCTGTTTGTTTTAAATATGCAATTGTTTTTTTTCCTGTTGTATTTTCTGTTTTTCAGTTTAAGTCCAGAAAGTACCTTCTATTCTAGTTTGCCAACAGTTTGGGGTTTAAAAAAAAAAAAAAAAATCAATTCTCAAATGCTTTTCTCTATTAACATAATTTTCCAGCTTTCCTGCTTTAATTTATCAATGTGATAATTTCCTTGAAAAAAATTCCTGACATTTAACTATCCTTGCATTCTTGGAATGTGTCCTTGTCCATAATATATTCTTAGGTTGAATCATACAAAATTGCTGTTTCTTATGTTAGAAAATGGTGAAATACTGGCTGTATCATAGAGGTCAAATTAATATTTTCAATATGCTCTCAATTATTTAAAAAATAATTTTACATCTATGACCCTAAGTTAAATAAGACTATAATTTTCTTTTCTTGATTTGTCTCTATTTTTGGAAGGAGAATCAGGATTCTACCAGCCTCAAAATATGAAGTGGATACCCCTCCCCCCCGTGTTCTGGAACAGTTTACATGGATAAAATTCATTAACACTTGAAATCTGATAGAATTCAAATATAAAAATATCTAGAAGTGTGGGGGGTTTGTTCTTTTAAAGGGACTATCCTTGACTATCATTTCAGTTTTTTGTTGTTGTTGTTTTGTTTTTTAAGATTTTATTTATTTATTTGACAGAGACACGGTGAGAGAGGGAGCACAAGCAGGGGGAGTAGAAGAGGGAGAAGCAGGCTTCCCGCGGAGCAGGGAGCCCGATGTGGGGCTCGATCCCAGGACCCTGGGACCATTACCTGAGCCGAAGGCAGACGCTTAACGACTGAGCCACCCAGGCGCCCCCATTTCAGTTTCTTTAATAATTACTAGTCTATTGCAGTTTTACATTTATTCTTACACTATATATGGCATTTTAAATTTTGAGAAATTCACCTGTCCTCTAGATTTTAAGGTGTGCCAGCATTTCATATCAATACACTATTTACAATCTTATTTTATAGATCTGTCTGTGGTTATTTCCCCTTTCTAGTTCAGGAATTTATTTCTCTCATCTGTTTTTTTCCCTGAGTAGTTTTTGCAGTGTCTGTCTTGTTAATGTTTTCAAATAACTGGGTTCTAACTTCATTGATCCTTGTTGTAGTGTTTTTGTTCTGTGGATTATTTGGTTTTGATTGATGGTGATGGTTCTATTTTCATTAATACTTGCCCTTTTTTTACTATTTTCTCTTTTTTCTTTGCATTTGCTAGGTAGCTCTTTTTCTAACCTCCTGGGTATAATGCTTATTATTAACTTTTTTCTTGTTTTCTGAAAAAATTATTCCAAATTGTAAATAGCCTTCTAAGTTCTGCTTTAGCTGAATCCCTCAAGTTTGACATCTAAGTTTCATTTTTATTCAGTTGTTAGTATTGTATTTCTTAATTTCCTTTTTTATTTCCCTTTTAAGCCTTGGGCTTTTCACTAACATTAATGTATTTCTAGACACCGTGGAATTTTAAAGTTATTTTTTGTCATTAATTCATAGTTTTTCATAGTTTCATTGCACTGTGTCCAAAGACATAGCCTATATGATGTTGATTCTGTAAGAGTAGTTGAAGATTCTTTTATGGCTCAACACACAGTCTGTTTCTGTGTTCTGTGCATGCCTCCACAGATGTGTGTATTTTCTGTCTGATATAGAGTTCTCTTATATCTATTACTTTGAGCTTATGGTGGTGGTAAAGTCTTCAGTATCTTTTTTAAACAATCTCTGTTTTATTATTTTCTGAGGGAGGTGTGTTAAAATTTTTGTTCTAGCTTGTTTTCTTAGCCGTAGTGGCATTCCTTAACTTTTTTACCCTGTAACTCCAACAAAGTGGATGAAAGCATCAAGTGGTCTGGTTGAATCCGGGAAAAGAGGTCTTACACCGAATGTCCTCTCAAGGCCCATCTCTGGGGGACCCCAGAGCACTTCTGCAGAATCCCCAGTTGGCATTTCTGTAAACCTTGTACTATGATTTCTTATCACCCACCCACCAACCCAAAGAATTTTCAGTTGGCAGCCAAGTGGGTGCTCACATTCTTCTCCTCGCTCTACCACCATATATGCTTCTCCACTTGCTAGTCCACCTACAGGATATTTCTCATAACTAAGTTCTATACCTTGTTTGAAACCCTTTGCAAATTCTGCTGCTTCCATGAAATCTCTTCTAGAAGTAACGGTTCTTAAAACTGTAAAAGCAGTTACGACTCATACAATTAATTTAGTATTTATTCAGTGACCAGCCCCTGTGGTGATTGAAACTTATTTAAGTAATTGTAGTTGTCTAATATTTATTGTATTTGTTTCCCTTATGTTGCTATGTAAGCGTCTTGTAATGTGTCTTATAGGTCTCTATTTGTTAAAATACCCACATAGTGTCTTGTTCTTGGTAGTTGACCAAAAAAACCACTTTGAGCTTATTTACTTCAGTGTTAATATGACTTTATTTTTTTCCTATATAGAAGGCAGTTTTGTTACATTGCAAGACCTGTATCTTACTGTACTTTGCTAAATGTATTATTATTAATAATAAGCTTTACCTATGAAAGTAAGATTCTTTTCAAAATCATTGTAAAGCAAACAGATTTATTCTTTCTAAAATAAGCAGCCATTTATATGGTTAATTCTTTTAAAGTATTTTTATGATTTTAAAATTTATCTACTCTCCTAAAGCAGTGTTTGTTAGGTCTGGTAAAGTGATACAATGGCTAGGTTGTTTTCCTCCCCATCCCCCTTAACACTAATTATTTGAGTTCAGGTTTGAATTTGCAGGGTTCCCTATAAGGATAGTGGACCTAAGTCAAGCATTAGCCAAAGCGTAGAGTTCCAGGATGGTCAAAATCTACCAACTGGTTATTCAACTGATAAGATGGTTGCATCATACCATAGTGGAAGGTGTCAGCCTTTGAGCCCCAGAAACACACCTGGCCTAAGCTAGTGCTTTGTGGGGGACAAGACATGATTAAAGCAGTTATCATTTCCCACACTGATCTGCCAGTGTGGTTTTGTTGCACGTAATCAACACAAGTGAAGCACAACCAGCCAAATCCTAAAATAGGTAATTTAGACCAAAGAGTAGAGGTGGCAAGCAGAGACAAAAGATTGAATAAAAGATTTATAGAATACCTGTAAGCCATGAGCTAGCTATTAAGTCCTTTAACGTGTACTTTTACTTCATTTTCTCAACATCCATGAAGTGGGTATTACCATGCCCATTTTACACAGGAAGAAATGGAATTCCAAAGAATAAAATAATGTATTAATTATTGGACATTGAGTAAATGGTTGATTTGTGTATTGAATTCAGGTCTGACAGCTAAACCAATATCCTCAATTACCCTTGTTTTACTCACTTAACATAAAATATTCTTCTGTACCATTTGTATAGTTTAAAGAAACATAATTATTTAGAATTAATTGTTGATTTTTTTTTTTTCCTACTGGAATGCAAGTCCATGAGAATAGGGACCATGTCTGTTTTGTTCAGCATGACATCTCCAGGACCAAACACTCTCTTGGCACACAACTGATGTTCAGTATATATTCTTTGTTTCCCACCCATCCCCCTCTGTTTTTGGAGAGGGGTAGGGAAGTCAGGGTTTCTACCACTTTGTGTTGACTGTCTTAGGTAACAAAATAATGCACAGAAAGTCTGGGCCAATGTGAACCTGAACAATCAGAGAAGGTTTTATTGGTAAAGTAAACTTTTTAAACGGAGATGGAATAATTAACTGTAACCTACCTATACGTGAATGACTTCAACTACTTCATTCTCAAAAAAAGGACCATCATGGTAAGAATGGGGACATGCTGATGCCTTTGTAATGTAGATTTAAGTGCTCTATTTAAATTTTTTTAACCCCCCCTTTTTTTTTCAATAGAAAAAATCAGGCAAAGATATGCAGACCTGCCTGGAGAATTGCACATTATTGAGCTTGAAAAGGATAAGAATGGACTTGGACTCAGCCTTGCTGGTAATAAAGACCGGTCGCGCTTGAGCATATTTGTGGTGGGAATTAACCCAGAAGGACCTGCTGCCACGGATGGGCGAATGCGTATTGGAGATGAACTGTTGGAGGTAAGGGACATAGATTTTTAATTTCTCTTTTGGTCAGGTGAAGGGGTGAAAGGGAATAGTCCGCAGGAAAGTGAGGTGACGGTGAAGAATGTTACAAATTATATCTTCTTCAACTATTCAAAATCATTTTCCAAAGGAAGAACAGAAATCATATTGTCGCTTGCAGATGTTATTTGCTGCTTGAGTAAGACCTAATCTTGCAAAATAATTCAGGGACCCTTAAGTTAAAATCTCATGAAACCCTATTAAAAAGAATAGGATTTGTTTTTAACATAAATTCCAAAATGTTTAAATTGTATACTAATCTATTAGTATTTATCAAAATTCTCTTTAGCTTTAGAATAAACAAAAGGTATGGCATTTGTTTTTGTTCTTGTTTAGTTTTTTGGGAAGGTGTTAGAAGCAACAGAACTTTGTGAACTGGTTGATAAGGCTTGGTTACTATCTGTGAAGTTGGTGATGTGGGTTAAGACCACATTGATTCCTTATTTAGGAACAGGATAGAGGTAAGAGAGGCTAAGGAGATGCTGGTCCTTTGCTAATTACTTGCTAGATGATGTCATCAGTAATCTTATTTATTCGTATTTTCCTCAACTTAAAGTCAGGGTTTCTGTTCCGAGTTGATCTCACTTGGATGTTCATTTGCTGTTTGAGTTCATCATTCAGCTAGCGTTGTTAGTGTCTCTTGGGACTGGACACGGAAAGAAAGATGAATACATCCAGTCCCTTCATTCAGAGAGCTCACAGCATAGAGGAAAGAAACAGACACGGAAAGGTTATTGCACTGCACAGTGAAGAATACAATAATCTGAAGCACAGCCGCGGCAGCTGATGCGTACTAAGTGTCGGGTACAGCCACCTCTTTTACTGGTGGGATCACGAAGTAAACAGTGGTGCTGGGATTCAGTATCCCCGGCAGTTCAGCTTTTTGGCTTTTGTTAACTGGTGCACTCTGCAGCCTCTTGGATAAAACGTGCTAACACTTGGACATATGAAGGTCCAGAAATTACAGAGGCATTGAGTATCAGACTGTTCACTTAAAATGAGGGTTTCTGATTTTGCATTTTATGATTTCCTCGTCAGACTTGGACTCAGAATAGAATTCACAGTCACCCATAATCTGATTTGCTTAATAATAAATAACAGCCCAAACTGGTCAGACACCACTGCGAGACCGTTAGCATCACGCCTCTCCCAAGCCTCAGTAGTTTCTCCCCATCTTTTTTATTTAATTTTTTTTTTTAAGATTTTTATTTATTTGACAGAGACACAGTGAAGTGAGAGAGGGAACACAAGCAGGGGAAGTGAGAGAGGGAGAAGCAGGCTTCCCACTGAGCAGGGAGTCTGATGCGGGGCCCGATCCCAGGACCCTGGGACCATGACCTGAGCTGAAGGCAGACGCTTAACAACTGAGCCACCCAGGTGCCCCTCTCCCCATCTTAAAGCTGTTTCCACAAAGAAGTCACTTCTGGAATTAGCTTCCTTGTTCTTTTGTAATACAGCATTATGAAAGGGACCCACCTTGGGTAGTAGCAGTGACCAGCATAATCATTAAATACATAAAACTCAAAGGCAGCAGTACGTATTAACCAATACAATTCATCACTTCGAGTTTATTTTCTTTGGTTGATGCTTGGAGACTTCTTCAGTGATGAGACTAAAGTGATGGTGGTGGTCATCGAGGTGAAAGTGAAAACTAATTTACTGAGCTTAACTGCTGCTTTACCTACATGCTCCCACATTTGTATTCAGTATTCTTAAGAGACCTATCTGGTAAGTACTCATACTATCCCCATTTTATGGAAAAGAAAACTGCATCAGTCACTTGTCTAATATTACAGAACTAAGTTTCGGTAAGAACCCAGGCTTGCGGGACTTAAAGATTCATGCTTTAACCACTGAAGTGTACTGTGTTCCCCGTGGTACATCAGCCGAACCCCATTTGTTTAGATCCATGAGAATCCTGATTTATGATGCTCTTCTAGTCTTTAGGAAATCATGTATATGAAGTTACCATGTTGTGTTATATGGACCTAGACATGGATTTCCTGTATTGTGTGGTATATGAAAATGTTCCAAAGGCTGTAATTTAGAACATGAAGATTCTAGTTCTATTGTATCTTACTAAGACTCAAGATGGAGTAATGGCCCATGAGATCTAGACCAACAGGAGCACAGGTATTTTATTTCTCTGCCTGACATTATGTTAGATGTGGGTAACAAATGAGCGGGGGCTGCAGAGCAATGTGTTACAGTCCATACACAGAAGTCTTACTGGGTACAGGGCAGCAAGCACTGAACTTGGAAAAGCTGCTGTAACTTATCCCAGTTCTTTCAGTCATTAGTTGCATTTCAGAAGGGGCTTAATTAACACAGTGCCCTGCACATAGTTGACTGTTGATTAGATCACATTTCCTCCCTCCTAGACAGAAAATTTAGGTCTCTGTTTTCTAGGTGAGAGGCTGGAAGAGCTCTCTTGTCTGAAAAAGGATATTAACATCTTGCCACCCATCTACTCTTTTTTTTTTTTTTTTTACTTTCCAAATTTGACTTTTTTGTTGCTATTCAGCAACTTTATCTTGCAGAGATCGAAAGAGCAAGAAGATCAAACATGGCAAGAAGTTGATCCTCCTCCACTCCCCATTGATTCTCTTGTCTAAAAAAAAAAAAAAGATTGATAAATATATGTTGCAGCACACATTCTAGCCTTCCATGTCCTTAGCTAGTTACTTATCTTCTCTAACCCTCAGTTGCCATAAGTAATGAAAATTACATATTCAGCAACTATCTTGCTATGCATCTGTTACGTAGGAAGCAGTGTATGAACAAGGTGCTGATTTTACTTTGATGAACAAAATCCATGGTACCTGTTCCCATAGAGCTTACAGTCTAGTAATTGTATAGCATTAACTTTAGAAGGTGTTCCGAGAACTAGTGAGAGAAGATGGGTCAAATTTTGCCATAGTATCTGGCACAAAGTAATACATTTCAGCTGATATTATTTGTAAAATAGTATTTTCATCTGGAATTGTGTGTTTGAGGTTTTTATAGTTTGTTTATATGACTACACTTGTCTCTTAAAGTGAGTCCCAAAGGGAAGCCGTCATCTTCCTCAATAGCTCTGTCGCATCTTGAAAAACTGAGAGAACGGAAAAATGCACAGACTGGATTCTTAAGCAGTTATAACCCATCTTCTCATGTGACTTTTGGCTTTTTCCAAAGTTTTGGCAAATTTGGAAAAAATTTGTGTGGGAAACATTTCCCTCGTTTCTTTTTATAGCTGAGAAAAAATTTTTATCATTCCTCTCTGATATGTGAGGAATTTGTATATCGCATGATATCATATCCAATGTCCTTTTGAACCGAGAATAGGAAATTGATTTAATGATGAGTACCAGGAAAGCTACAAGCCCATGTTAAAATAGCTGTTCTTTGGATATTGCAGTGCGTTAGATTTTAGAAGGACACTGCATTGTGTGGGAGGCTTATATAGGGGGCTTTTATTTATTTATTTATTTTAAAGATTTATTTATTTGACAGAGACACAGCGAGAGAGAACACAAGCAGGGGGAGAGGGAGAGGGACAAGCAGGCTTCCCACAGAGCAGGGAGCCTGATGCGGGGCTCGATCCCAGGACCCTGGGATCACAACCTGAGCTGAAGGCAGACACTTAACGACTGAGCCACCCAGGCGCCCCTATAGGGGGCTTTTAGATTATACTTATTAGATTTCTGGGCTGGAGCAAATCTTGTATATTTACTTACCCACCCACACTCCATTTATTTTTGTGGCTTCTCTATGAGGTCAAGTTATCCGTGTCTTGATTGTTTTTACAGATCCACCATTTATTCCTATTATTTCTTAGGACTGCTTTGTTACTATTGTTATGTTCTTACTCTGCTCTGAGCCTCCTTTTATTCATCGTGGATTGGACTTATTTTCAGTCCTAAGAGGAGGCTAACTTATAGGACGTAGAAAAGAGCTGGGTCGAACATGCACGGTGGCTTCTTTGACGTCAGAAGCTCTGCTTCCTCACGAGAGCCTGGCCATGACTGATTTTCCGCACTCCACTGGCCAGCAGTTTTGTTGCTGTGGGACTGCATTGTTAATGGTGCTGGAGCAGCCAGCGAGTTCTGTCGATAGATGGCCCAGTTCATGTGTAAAAGAAATCTTAAATTAAGCCCCCAGAAGACAATGTGATTAAATCTCAGCTTCCTTACCCTTTACTGCAATGCTGGTGTGGGGGCTTCTGAATTAATTTCAAAAGGCATTAGCATATAATTACCATGTAGCCTGGAATGAGACTTGCACCAGAGTATTGGCCTTCCCTGAGCAATTAGTCCCAGAAAATACACAGGTCTGGGCATGGTGCTGTCATATGAATGTAGGATTTATTTATAATCTTCCCTACGGTGCAAGTGCAGGAAGAGAGAGTAGATACCGTTGCATGGGGAATTGGAGTGATTTGTCGGGTTACAGAAGCAGCTGGGGGCAGCATGAGCGGGTGCCAGTGATGGGGCTAGCATAGAGAGCTGAGTCTCTCTGCCCCCCACACCCTGCAAGATAGAGCCCGCGCATCCCCTTTGAAACATTCACCTGCAGAACAGCCAAACCTAAATGTTGTTATTTTCCAAGTGTCTAATATGTTTACTTAAGAACCACTACAAATAAAAAGCACGAAGGCTTTCCGTATTTGCAGAGGGATGAAGACGTAGAACCACAGTTAAACTCAGATCTTACTGTCTCGTTATGTTTATTTTAGAAGAGAAAAAAGCCTGAAGCCATAAAATGTCAATGACTGGCCCAGATCCATGGAGCTGCATCAGGACAAAACTCCTACCTCAGGGCTCTATACACCACCCAGTCTCAGCACCTACTCTTCACTCTCTGCTTCTTGCCAGTGAATTATTCCTGAAATCTTTTGGAAGACTTCAATGTGATTTAGAAGCGCAGGAGAGTAGTAAACAGGTCACTAGCTTTTGTACATCCACAGATAAGAT